TGAGTCTAAAGTAGAAAGCCCTTCGGGAGGGAGGGTAGAAGGAAGGGGATGATGCTGATGATGAGGATGATGATGGTGATGATGCTGATGCTGCTGATGATGATGCTGATGAGGGCAAGGATGGTGCTGATGATGCTGATGCTGATGACGATTCTGCTGATGATGATGATACTGATGATAATGCTGATCATGCTGATGCTGCTGATGATGCTTATGATGCTGATGATGCTGATCATAATGATGATGTTGATGACGACAACGATGATGATGATGATACTGATGATGATGATGATGATGATGATGATGGTGATGCTGGTGATGATGATGTTGATGAGGATGACGCTGCTGATGATGATGCTGATGCTGCTGCTGATGATGCTGATGCTGCAGATGATGTTGCTGTTTTGATGCTGATGCTGCTGCTGCTGATGGTGACGCTGATGATGTTGACGATTCTGATTAGGCTGCTGCTGCTGAAGATGATGCTGATGACGCTGCTGATGCTGCTGATGATGATGCTGATGATGCTGATGATGCTGATGATGCTGCTGCTGATGATGATGCCAACGCTGATGATGAAGCCAACGCTGATGATGATGATGATGATGATGATGATGATGATGATGATGATGATGATGATGATGATGATGCTGAGGATGATGATGATGATGATGATGATGATGATGATGATGATGATGATGATGGTACTGATTATGATGCTGATGATTATACTTGCGATGACGATGATGCTGATGATTAGTATGATGATGCTGGTGATGATGATACTGATGATGCTGATGATGCTGGTGATGTTTAATATGTTGACCATGACAATGCTGATGATGCTGATTCTGATGATGATGGCGATGCTGATACTGATGATGCTGATCGTACTGATGATGATTAATATGATGACGATGATGATGTTGATGATTATGATGGTGATGATGACGACGATGATGATGCTGATGATGATGATGGTGGTGGTGGTGGTGGAAGTGGTGGCGGTGATGATGGTGATGATGATGATGATGATCATGATGATGATGATGATGCTGATGCTGATGATGATGACGATGATGATGATGATGATGATGATGATGATGATGATGATGATGATGATGATGACGATGCTGATGATGACGATGCTGATGCTGATGCTGCTCCTGATGAGGAGGGTGAGGAGGATGAGGAGGATGAGGATGAGGATCAGGGTGAGGAGGAGAAGGAGGTGGAGGAGGAGGCGGAGGAGGAGGTGTAAGAGGAGGAGGAGGAGGAGGAGGAGGAGGAGGACGTTGACGCGGAGGACGCGGAGGAGGAGGAGGGATGAGGATGAGGATGAGGATGAGGAGGAGGAGGAGGAGGAGGAGGAGGAGGAGGAGGAGGAGGAGGAGGAGGAGCAGGAAAGGTGGAGGAGGAGAAGGAGGAGGAGGAGAAGAAGATGAAGAGAAGGAGAAGGAGAAGAGAAGGAGGAGAGGAGAGGAGAGGAGGAAGAGGAGGAGGAGGAGGAGGAGGAGGAGGAGGAGGAGGGAGGAGCGGAGGGGGAGGAGGAGGAGGGAGGAGGTGGAGGAGGAGGAGGAGGAGGAGGAGGAGGAGGGGGGAAGGAGGAGGGGAGGAGGAGGAGGAGGAGGAGGAGGAGGAGGAGGAGGAGGAGAGAGGAGGAGGAGGAGGAGGAGGAGGAGGAGGAGGAGGAGGAGGAGGAGGAGGAGGAGGAGGAGGAGGAGGAGGAGGAGGAGGAGGAGAGGAGGAGGAGGAGGAGGAGGAGGAGGAGGAGGAGGAGGAGCCCAGACATCCGGCGTCTGGAAAAAATCGTGCAGGGGTTTTTGACATGGTTGTACGCCCTCTCGGGGCCCGTGGGCCGTCAAAGAGAACGAATCGTGACTACAAACAGTTCTTGGGGAGGTGGCCGAGAGGTCGGAGGCCCGTGCCCCTTCAACATTGAGACGCCAGATGTCTGGGAGGGGGGGGGGGAGAGGGAGGAAGGGAGGACAGTGGGGTTGGAGGGGACGGAGGGAGTGGATTGAGGGAAGGAAGAGCGCTTCCTTCTACAACCCTTCTTCCCTTGCTCCCCCCTTCCTCCCGCCTCCCCTGGAAGGAGGGTGGGAGAGGGACAGGTGCCGATGTTGCTGCCCTTCCCTCGCCGCCACGGCGGGATTTGCTCCGAGGTCGTGGTCGGATATGCCCCCGAAGAGGTGCAGGCCGGCGTAGCGGTATCGGTACCTCTGTCCCCCCGTGGGCGGGGGAGGGAGGAGGGCGAAGGGAGGGAGGGGGGGAGTGGAAGGTGAGGGAGGGAGGGAGGGAGGGAGTTTTTTTTTTTCGCCCTCCTTTTTGTTCCTTGTCCTCCTCCTCCTCCTCCTCCTCCTCCTCCTCCTCTACCTCCTCCTCCTCTTCCTCCTCCTCCTTCTTCCAGCCTCTTTCATCCAGCCTCTTTCCTCCTTCCTCCTCCTCGCGTTCCTCTACCTCCTCCTCCTCCTCTGTTTCCTCCTCCCCTCCTTCTTCCTTCCCTTTTCCTCTTCCTCCTCCTCCCCCTCATCCTCTCTCTCCTCCTCCTCCTCCTCCTCCTCCTCCTCCTCCTCCCCCTCCTCTTTTTCCTCCTCTTCTTCCTCCTCCTACGTTCCGCGCCCTTCTACTTAACTCATAATTGTTCCCTTCCCTTGTCGCACCGCCAAGCGTGTGGGTAGGGCGGGCTGGACGTTTCGCCTGCGACTTCCTCACCATTTATCATCCTGAAGCTTACGAGCTGTACTATATTTCATGATGGTCATCGAATGGTTTTCAAATGCTGCTCTCGCGTCGAGCTGCGCGCATTCGTTTGACAAGTTTCCAGCAGCTTCAAGGTTGGAGGGCGGGCCGCATCCAACATGTGTCTCCCCACTTAGAGCCGCGCACATGCGTCTTATTATCCCAGTGCGACCCTACCTAGGAGTTGGAGCCCCTAGGACAGCAACATTACGGTAAATCTAAGCTAAAGCTAAGCTAATACTAAGCTAAAGCTAAGCTAAAGCTAAGCTAAAGCTAAGCTGAAGCTAAGCTAAAGCTAAGCTGCAGCTAAGCTACAACTAAGCTACAACTAAGCTAAAGCTAAGCTAAAGCTAAGCTAAAACTAAGCTAAAGCTAAGCTAAAGCTAAGCTGAAGCTAAGCTGAAGCTAAGCTAACGCTAAGCTACAGCTAAGCTAAAGCAAAGCTGAAGCTAAGCTAAAGCTAAACCTGAGCTAAGATGAAGCTAAGCTAAACTAAGATGAAATAAGCTACGCTAAGATGAGATAAGCAACGCTAAGCTAAGGGAACGTCACTGGGGGAACCGCGGGGCGGATCCTGGGGGAACCGCCCGGGGCGTGGAATACTGCCCGGCCCTTTAAGCACACACAGTAAGAACCCTTCTAGGCAGAGCCTCGGTAGGGAATACATTTGCAGCAGCTTCAAGGATGGAGGGCGGTTGCTTCATGTGGCTCTTGCTGTGACGGCGCGCACATTCGTCTTAACGCTTGCAGCAGTTTCAAGGATGGAGGTCGGCTCCTGTTCAGAATGTGGCTCTCGCTTTGACGCCTGTGCATTCGTTTTAATCGTTTGCAGCAGTTTGAAGGGCTTGCAGGATTGAAGTCTCAGGAACGGTGTTCTGTCACGGTTTAGGATTGTCAAATCGCAACAGACATGTTGACTCGTGGTCTTGCGGTCCCAGGAACGGTGCACTGGAAACGATGTATGATTGTCAGGACGCAACCGTTACGTTGATTCGCGGCGTTGAAGTCACAGGAATGGTGTTTTGGCACGGTTTGAAGGGTCTCGGACGGTTGTCTATCAATCGGGATATTTCCCGCAACGGAGTTAGGGATGATTCCAACCTCGGTGATGCGCCTTGTGTTTCCAATGGTCTTTCCTCCTGCTCGTTTTCCTCCCCTTCCTCCATCCATCCTCCTACCCATTTTCTCCTCCTCCTCCTCCTTCCCCTTCTCCTCTTCCTCCTCCTCCTCCCCCTCCTCCTCTTCCTCCTCCTCCTCCTCCTTCTCCCCGTCCCCCATCATCCTTTGGGTGGCTTCGTAGCGTGGCCCCGCAGCCGTCTTGCCGGGGCGGCGGGCGCCCGCCGAACGACGGCCCCCGGCCCCCTCGGAGGGGCGCCGGCGTTCGCCCGGCACGGTAGGGAGCGGCGCCAGCGCGCGGGTGGGACGCAGGGCGCCTCGACGCGCACCGCGGCACGCAGCGCCCGTGGGCCGCGGAGGGTCGCGGCGAGGCTGCGCGCGGAGGCGCCTCGCAGGAGGGTGTGGTGTCCATGGCACGCCGGGCGTGGTGGTGCCAGGCCAGGCCGGGAGAGCCACGAGCTGCCAACTGCACCTGCAAGAAGCGACGCCCCCGCGCCCGAAGGTCTCTGGCAGGCGCCCCCCCGCGGCTCCCCGGCTTCAGCTGCAGCCTCGGCCCCCGCCCCGTTGGGGCGCCGCCGAAGCGGCGAGTCCGAGGGCCCCCGCGCCGCGGCAGCGAGCGTTTTGCGCCCCCGAGACAGAGAGAGAGAGAGAGAGAGAGAGAGCGCGAGGCGCGCCGAGGCGGGCGCTGTCGCCGCCGAGCTGCACGCTACGAACCGAGGGGTCCCAAGCCCACGCGGCCGCGCGGCGCTGGTTCTCTCGTCACGTTCGGCGAAAGGCATTCGAAGGTCATCCCTCTCCCTTCCTTCCTGGTGCACGAGGGAGGGCATTTATCTTCCCACGTCCATTCGTCAGCCATGTGGAAAACAGAAGGCAGGTGGTGGTAAGCAGCAACGCGCAGCTCCTCAGCCTGACATCCCAATCATTCCCTATGAACGGGTGGTCTATGCGTGGGTGGGGCGGACGTCACGGGTGGAACCAGAGTTTGGTTGAGAAGTATTTCCGTTGCGGCAAGTGTGGTTGACAATTCGAGTTGCATCGTCCTACGGGTCCTACTCGTCAGCCGGGGGGGTAATAGATCGAACGTGTTCGAAGTGGCACCAGCACCCAGTTCATCGCGTACGGCAGGTTCGTTTCCCGTCGAGACGTACGAGCAAGCGTTGGTAGTCACCGCGGCCCCAGCCATGAAGACTGCCTCACCGACACAATTTTGTACGCTGCTGACGCTGCAGATTCGCATGTTCCACAGGTCCCTCCGAAGGAAGCCGTTGGTCGAGCCACCGCTTCCATTGGGGACGCGTCGGCGAAATGCGAGGGGCGCGGCGCCAAGCGCCAGGCCGCTTCCGCCTGCGCCCTTGTCAGAGCCGAGAAGTCCAAATGCCTCGCAGTGCAGGCTCTGGCCGAGCAGGCGGGCTGCGCGCATCTCGACGGCGTTGAAAGACGGCGGTGGCCAATCCATGGACGAGCTCACTACCATCTCATGGGGCGAGACCTTCTTCCCGACGTCGGACACGATGGAGGTCAACGAGGGCGAGAATAGCGTGCTTCGGCAGCTCAAGAGCGACCCCCGCGCCACCGGGGGCCTGGCAAGCAACGGGTCTTCCGAGGTGAAGGCGCGGCTTTAGAACAGGAAGGCCTTGTCAGAGGCCATCGAGAGGAGGGTGGCCACGAAGCAGAAGGGCATCGACGGTGGTTCGGTCGAGGCGCCCAGCGGCGACGGGGCCAGCGCATCCGCCGCGTTAGCTCCAGCCGCCTGCGCCGCGGCAGGCGAGGCCGCCACGAGCGTTTCCCCGTTGATGCTTCTTCGACGCGCGTTGGGTTCAACGCGGCAGCTTGCCATCATAACAGATATATATATATATATATATATATATATATATACACATACATGCACATTTAATCTGGATCACTTTGCGCGCCTACTCCAGCAAAGGTTTCGAGGAAGGATGCTCCAAAGGTTCGGTCGCCTCTGAGTCTTGGCCCAGCAGCGTCGTCTTTCGCGGGCGGTGGTCGGAGACTAAAGCTCCCCCCCCCAGATGTCGCAGCGCGGGCTTCGTCGATGAGGTGGGCGGAGTCATCTGCGCATGTCCGCTTGATTACGCGCGCTCGCTGGGATCAGGCGCCCACGTCGGTTGCGTATCTGCGAGCTCTGCCGGCGCTCCTTTCGCGTCCGTTGTCGGGGCGCGGATCGACGTGCCATGGCGACTGCATGTCGGCTTTGTTCTAGTGGCAGGTCGGGCCTGTCCCTCTACAGGGGGCGTGTTCAAAATTAATCAAAAATATTACGGGGGCGATTTTTTGGTTATTTTTTGGCTATGTTGGTGTATGTCTTGAGTATTTTTCATTTTTCGCTCCAAATCGGCCTGTGGGGGGACGCGCCCGACTTAATTCTAGTGGTGCGTCGCTCCAGCCAGCAAGCTTTGCGCCGCGAGCTTCGGGCAGCCTCGAGCAATTGCCGTGGGCTCCGCGGGCCGAGACGCCTGTCGCCGCGGGCAGGCTCCCCCGGCCCGGCCGAGCGGAGGCCCGCTGCGCCGCGCTGGCTCTCCCGGTCCGAGCGGGGGCCGAGCGGGGGCAAGGCGGAGGCCGGGCGGAGGGCGGGCTCTCCCGGCCCCATAGCGCGGCTGCGGCCGAGCAGAGGCTCGCTGAGCGCATCTCGGCCGGCCAGCAGCCTCGCGAACCTTTCGGCGGCCTGGGCGGGGGCGAGGGCTTGGAGGACGCGCGGGTGCCGTTCTGATTTTCTGGCGGCTCGGGCGACGAAGCCGGTTCTCCTGGGGCACCTCTCGCTCGCCTTCCTCTTGGGCCCTTCCCCCTGGGTCTGCGCGGGGGCCCGTCCGAGCCCCGAGATGGCGCCGAGTTTCCGCTCGACCAGGCGGCCGGACAGCGCCCGACCCCCGACCTGCCCCGATAGCGACATCCCCCTGGAATCTCAGCGCAGCCCCCCCGCCCGCTTTCCTTGTTCCGAACGAAACCTGGGGGGCCGCCGAGAGGGAGGCTGGGCGCGCGCCGGTTGCTCGGCGGCATGCCGTGTTTGCGCGCGCAATTTCCGATAGGTTAGGACTACCGAGGACGCCATGCCATCACATCCTGGGCATGATGAGCCTCTTCGTTCGTGAACCTGGGGGCCCGTCTTGCGTGGTGAGGAAATGCATGTGTTGGAGAAGGTGCGTAGTCAACTGTTGTATGGGCGCGTCGCGCGCCGGCGGGGGAGGGCGCGCGCTGTTCTCCAGGGTGTCGATCGTCGCGGTATACATGGAAACTGGAATGCACAGCGTGCGCGTCTCGCGGCGGCAGCGGGCGATCTATCTGAATATGTTATCTTACCTTGTGCGTCGCTCGATTCCGCCAGTAGTTCGAGGGCGCTCTGAATGGCGCGGCTAGTTCGCGTGAGATCTCTTGCGTCCACTGGGCCCCAGCCTTTCGGTTCTGCGGCAAGGCGCGCGGCGGCGCGTGCCAGGCGACGGTTGCTTCGCAGCTCGCCCGGGGAGCTTCGGGATTGGTTCGCCGCGCCACTTGCACGCGTGGCCCTTCGCGAGTCCCTCGCCAATCTCCCCCTTCCCCCGCCGGGCCTTCGAGATCGAGGGGGGTGGGTCTTCGCCGTGCCAGAGACAGTGTTGGCATTTTAAGTTCGAGGGGTGGCGCGCGCGCTGGGTTCCAGGCGTTGCGTCTCTTGATTGCGCTTGCGCTTGGTTCCGCTGTCTTCGAGGTGTTGATGTCGAGCCGCGCCCCGCAGATCTCGCGCGCGCGCGCAGAAGCCGCGCTCGGGCCATCTAAAGCCCGCGCTGGTCAAGGGGCGGAGATGCTGCCGACTGATTTGCAGCGGCTCCCACGCGGCGGTCTCTTGCGATTGGCGCAGCTCGCGCAGGCGCGCGAAGCTCGGCTCGCGGGGCCATGGCCAGTTCTTCTCGTGGCAGGTCGGCTTCTGGGAAAAACGTGGGTGCTGGGTGATCGGGCTGATGGCCGTGCTCGCTATGCCGTCGTCGTTGGCCCGTGCAGAAGATGTCCGCCCCTGGGGCCCTCCTCAGAACCTGTCTGGGGCGCTGCCGTCCGAGGTGACTCCGCTCTTCGCGCGGCGTTCCTCCGCGCCCCCCTGGGCGAGGCTTGCGCGCGCATGTGGATCGATGTCGGCGCCGGGTCGGTCGACGCCGAGACCATTTGCGATTCGATGGCTCGGGGGTCTCTGGTCGACGCCTCGCGGCGCCTCGGCTTTCCACCCACCTTTCTGGGGCTCGGGCTGCAGAGATGCATGGCCCCGCGAACGGCGGCCCGAGACTGTCGTTTCTCGGGCGCGCTTCAGTCGACGCGGAGCTTCGCCCGGGGGGCCCAGGGGTTGCGCGAGATGTGCGCGCCGCATGCGTTCTGCGCCCTGCAGAGTCCCAGCCAATCATTCGAGGGCGTTGATGTGGGCTCGGGCTGATGATCTGCATCTGCGCGTTGCAGGGCCCAGGGGGGGCTCTGCGCGCCGAGCGTTTCATCTGTTCGAAGGGCGCGCGCCTGCAGTTCCTGGAGGCCGGCCCCAAGGTCTGGGTCGAAGAGCGTTCTCGCGCGTTCTAAGCCCGCTGGCGGCGCGGCCATCGCTGGCAGATTCAAGGAGGTAATTGGGCGTCGAGGTACACGGCGCGGCGCAGGCGGCGCTCTTCGGCTGTGACCTTCGCGCTGGTCGCATGCCCCTTTGCATTTCGGCGTCGGCTCGGGGCCGCCTGCCGGGTGAAAGCAGACGTGTCGATGCTTGGCGTCTCTCCGGGATCTGCGCGCTCCTGGCGGGGGCCCCGCCGTCAAATTCCCCGGCGACGCCGCGAAGTCGTGGCCGGCGGGGGCCCCGTGGGAGCTCTTGCTGGGCACTTGTTTGAGGTGGGGCAGACCCCTGCGCGTCCCGCGGCGTGATCTGTTCCTGGAGATGATGCGGTTGATTGGGTTTTCCCCGACGAGGATTTGACAGATCTCGAGTGTCCCACTGGCTTTCTGACGAGTCCCCGCGGGAATGTCAGGGTCTGAGCTGGCCCAGGGCTGCCCGTCCCTACTGGGCGGAAGGTGTGCAGTGGGTGGGCGGGCAATGCCGGCTGCGGTCGTTGCGGCGCCCGCCCGAGACAAAGCTGGCGCGGCCGTCGTCGAGCCGAAACCGCGGCCAATCTTGCCGCCGGTGGATTTTGGCCGCGTCGCACGGTTCTCGACGAGATTCGAAGTCGCGTCGATCCATGTTGTCCGGGGCGCAGGCGGCGGCCCGAGACGGCGCGGCACCGCGCGCGACTTTGCAGCGACGCCAGCTCCAACTGCAAAGCGTTTAAGCAGTCGGGCAACCTCGTGCCTGCAGCCGCGGCCTGACGCGAGAGTGGGCGGCAGTGCCTCCTGCGAGCTCACAGTCAGCATGGCCGGTCGCGTAGGGCGGCAGCACTTCAGGACCTGGCGACGCCGCGATCGGGGTCGGCGCGGTCGACTCGCCAATCGTCGTTTTGGGAGATGGCATCGGGGGGCCAGACGGCAAGGAACTATCGTCCAGGAGACTTGGAGTTGCTGCAGTGCCCATGGCGTCCTGCGATCCATCCATCGTATGCGCTGGTGTATCTGGTCTCCTTCCTGGGCGCGGGACCATTCCTCTTCGTGAACTCTATGGGCTCCTCCTGGCCTTCATGTGCTCCAGAGGCCCCCTGTTATACGTCACGGACAATTCGGGTGTTTGCGACGGTATGCGTGCTGGGCCGCATCAGTGGCCCTCAGGGGTCAGCAATGGGATTTGGGGCGCGGTGCGTTCGGTTTATCTGGAGTATTCAGAGTGACGCGTCACAGGGCGCAGTTCTTAAGATTGCCTTCCACCTCGCAAAAGGGCAGATCCTCGAAAATCATGTGCCTCGTTTCCTCGTGGGCGGCAGCGCCGTTGCCAGCGAGGTTGCATGTGCAGCAGCACGTGCATTCAGGTTATACGTTTTACATCGTGCGCGAGTTGGCATAGTCAAAGAGATGCCTTCGTGTGTGCAGGCGTGTGCTGCGAATTGCTGCAGAAGTGTTCATGTACGGTAAATCCCAGGTGATCAGCCGACGGCGAGGTGGAGGCTCCGAGGCTGCGATGCCCGACCTTCCCCTGCACCCTTGGTTCTTTTACGCACGCAGCATCAGTTGGGCCAGTCTGGGAAATCTTGTCTTTGGTGCCGCGGTCCGCCTCAGACGACGCTACGACTCAGTGTTGTTTGAGCCCGTGTTTCGAGTTTGCTCCGCAGGATAAGAACGTATTGCGTTGTGTTGTGTGGCGACTCTTACATTTCTGTGTGTGCCAGTGGGTGGAGGATTGTGCCGGGCCCCAGCATGAGATGGCTGATCAGTCTGTCCTCAAGGTCTCGGATTGCGAGGCTTATGGTTTATTATGTGGTGAGCTTCTTGTCTAAAGGCTTGAGAGAGCCTTGCACTTCTCAGCGGTCAGACACCAGACGAGAATACCTCAGACGGTTCGAACGCTGGGCTTATTTTTTCTTGGTATCACCTTGTGATGGCGTCCACTCCTCCTCCTCCTCCTCCGTCCTCCTCCTTCTCCTCCTCCTCCCCCTCTTCCTCCTCCTTCGTCCTCCTCTTCCTCCTCCTCCTCCTCCGTCCTCCCCCTCCTCCTCTTCCTCCTCCTCATCCTCCTCCTCATATTCCTCCTCTTCCTCCTCGTCCTCCTCTTTCTCCTGCTCCTCCTCCTCCTCCTCCTCCTCCTCATCCCTTGTTCCTTTTCTACGAATGGCGAGCATTTGCAAACAATGTTTCCGTTGGTTTTCCGCCCGGGGGCCAATCTAGGGCCC